TCATTACTTAGTATATAATTTAGTATTTTTAAAAAATCATATAACTCGACTAAGAGTGAATAAAATTTTTTCAGGATTTTCATAGTAAATTTTTAAAAATTGAATACACTAGGCAGTAGAAATTGGGTGTGGGATTAGTAACTGACTTCAAGATTAGTTTTTTTTTTCTTTCTCTTTGGTTTAACTAACTTTTTTCTTTTCTTTTTTTGTAAGCTTAAATTTTAGGCTTTGCTAAAAGTGAATTACACTGAGCAGTAGAAATTCAGTGTAGAATTAATAACTGGCTTCAAGATCAGTTTTATTTTTCTTTTTCTTGTATTTTTTCTTTAGTTAAACTAACCTTTTCTTTTTCTTTTTTTGTGGTTTAGATTTTAGACTTCGCTAAAAACGAATTATACTAGGCAGTATAAATTGAATGTGAAATTGGAACTAGCTTCAATATTAGGGTCTAATTCATTCTTCTCCTCTAATTCTTCCCTCTTTAAATCATTCTCTTTCAAATTTTCCTCCTCCAATTCTTTTTCTACTAAATCATTTTCCTCCAATTCATTCTTTTCTAATTCATTCTTCTTATCCAATTCATTCTCTTCAATTCCTCATTTTCTAAATCTAAAAAATTAATTCAATTAAAAAAAAAATCAATTCAAAATAATCAAAAGATTTTTTATTTTACTTTGTTCAATATTTTCCTCAATATCCTTCATACTAACAATATTTATTTGATTATTTAAAATATTATTAAATATATTATTTGAAATTGGTAAAGGAGTTTGAAGATTTTTTTCTCTCTTTCTATGCCTTGTTTAAGTAGAGATACTTAATAATTTGCCACAACTATCACTTTCTTGCATGCAAAATACACAAGGCATAAAACTTTATTATCCATAACTAATTATTATAGAATTTATAAATTAAAGATAAGTATTTGAAATATTATCTTTTTAAAGTTAATTTTACTAACAATTTATTAAAAAACTAACTTTTTTTTCTTAATACTTTTTTGCAAAAAACAAACTCGTATTTTGCCAAACTAATAGAAAAAAAACCTACAAAAACAAGTTGTAAAAAAATTAAAAGAATCAATTATAATTATATAAGAACAATCTGTAAATAAAAACCTGTTATCAGACTTTTAATTATATTTTGTGTATAGTTAGCAGTCTATAAAAATTTATTATTATAATAGATTTTCTATAGACAGCTAACTATATACAAAATATAATTAAAAGTCTAATAAAAAATTTTCTTTGATGATACTCATATTAGACTTATTATAATTGCTATTTAAAATTATATAATTACCTACTATTTAATATAACTAATATTTCACTTATACAAAATAATATATTATAATAAAAGTAATTTAGCAAAACAAACACAAAATTAATACAAAATTTTTAATATTCTTTAATATTTTTAATAAAAATAATAAGGGTGTGGTGACATAGTAAAGTGGTTAGGTTGTCACCCCCAAGTAACAAGCCCAGAGTTCGAATCCCATCGGTGACAGAAAATTCG